CACTTTGATGGAAAAGCTGGCAACGCCATCGTGAAGAACGGTTTTGATCATTGGCATAATTAAGTTTTTATCCCTGGTTGGTGGTTGTATTGTAATGTGTCGGGGAACAGCCCAGTTAAATATACATTTTTTTGGAGTAGCCATTCTTTGGCAGAACAACGCCGCATTCGCTTTTACGTGGTCTGCCCCGACTGTTGTGTTCAACCGTAGATGACCGTTGTTGGTGATAACACCCACAACGGTTAGTAAGGCTTTAAGGCCGGCAAAGACAAGCAAGCTTCAAACCAATTTGGTGTACTAATGGCGATAGGCTATATTAGTTAAGCCTGTTACCCAACTGAAGGGCTATCCATCACCATTACAAGAGTCTGCCATGAAGCATATCTGCCTCACCATTTTATTTGTCATTACCTGTTTTGCCGGGTTCAGCCAGCACGATACCGTTTTCTATTCCGTCGTAAACAAAGGTAAAATAACCGGTGGCGGTAAAGACTGGAAAGAGGGCGATGCCTACCATAGCACCTACCAGTTTAATGACAGGGGACGGGGCGACAGCACCCACACGGTATTTTACACCAGCCAGGACGGACGTGTTGCCGCGTTAAAAACCACCGGCGTAGATTACTACAAAAACCCGTACGAAGAGAAGTTTGATGTGCTGGCAGATTCCGCTGTATGGACGGTCAACGGCGACCGCAAGTCAGCAAAATACAATCATCAAATCTATCCTGCGGATTATGGATTGCTGGTTAAATGGACACTGAAACAACCAGGCAAAAAAACCGAAATTTTGCCGGAAGGCACCATGCGCATGGAAGCACCTGTAGACAAGACCATTACGGTGAAGGGAAAAACCATCCGCTTAAAATTAATTACCCGTTACACGGAGCCATCCCCTACCCCCTCTTTTGTCTGGATGACGGACAGCCTGGATTTTTTTGCCACAGTGAGCGGCTGGCAATCGTTTATACAAAAGGGTTATGAAGACTTTACAGACACCCTTTTTACCCTGCAGGAAAAAGCGGCACAGGGATACTATACCAATGAACTGAAAAACAATTCGGCTGTTTTAGCCACGCATGTGGTGCTGACGCATGCTGCTATTTTTCAATCCGCTACCGCCAGCATCAAAAAAGACATGACCGTGGAGATAGTGAACGGGCGCATCCAGGCCATTTATCCATCTGCACAAAAAAATCCGCCGCAGGCGGATACCATCATCAATTGCAGGGGGAAATTTTTAATGCCGGGCCTGTGGGATATGCATGCACATTATAGCAAAACCTCGGGCTCGGGCTATCTTGCCGGTGGCGTTACGCACCTGCGGGATATGGGCAACGACCAGATACTGCTGACCTATAAAGATCAGATTGCCAACAATGCCCTGCTGGGTCCGGATATCAGCTATCTCTCAGGCTTTATCGACCGCGAAGACCCCTTCCAGGGGCCGACGGGTAAAATAATTAGATCGCTGGATGAAGGCTTTGCCGCCATCGACGAATTTAAACGCCTGGGTTACCAGCAAATAAAATTATACAGCGCCATTAAACCAGCATGGGTAAAACCAATGGCTGCTTATGCCCATAAAGCTGGTTTAAAAGTATGTGGCCATATTCCCGCTTTCATGACGGCCGAACAGGCAATTAAAGATGGCTATGATGAGTTAACCCATATGAATTTTATCTTTTTAAATTTTATGGGCGATACCATTGACACCCGTACGCCGGCCCGTTTTAGAGCAGTGGGTGCCAATGGGGGCCAACTTGATCTGAACAGCAAAGCGGTAAACGATTTTATCAGCCTGATGAAGGAAAAGAAAATTGCACTGGATGCCACACTCAATGTATGGCAGGGCATGTTCGACGAATTCAAGGGCGATACAATGCAGTACCTGAAACCGGTGGTAAGCTGGCTTCCAAAGCAATGGCTTTCCAGCCTGGCCATACAAACACCCTATGGAACAAAAGCGGATAAACATGCTTACAAAGCAGCGTTCAGCAATATGAAAAAAATGCTGAAAAAACTTTACGACAATGGCATATTGCTGGTGCCCGGCACAGATGGTGGTGAAGCCAATGCCCTGCACCATGAACTGGAAATTTATGTACAGGCCGGCATTCCTGCCAACCAGGTACTGAAGATAGCTACCTATAATGCAGCACTAAATTGTAACCTGCAAAACTTATATGGCAGCATCGCACCCGGCAGGGAGGCGGATATTATTTTAATTGACGGCAACCCGGTTGCAAACATCAGCGAAATCAGGCGGGTGAAATGGGTGATAAAAAACAAACGGATGTATGCTCCCAGGCAATTATTGGCGGCCAGGGGCTGGAATTATTATTAACGGAGTTGTTGGTGAGAACACCAACAACGGCGGCAATGGAACGCAGATGGTCATGATTAACAGGATTAATCAGGATAAAGGTTATTGGTCCCAGCGGGACACCCTGTTTATAGAAGACCGCTTGACAGCAAATGCGGCTCCATAGGAGCATCCTGTGATGCACAGGGGGCTCCTATGGAGCTTTTCGAACCATTTGGTATAGTTCTATAAACAGGGAGCTCATAACGAAGCTGATCGTGGATAGTAAATAGATCGTCAACAGATTTATTGGCACCTGATATTAACCTGAAAGAAACAAGGCTCTGAATAGCAAGCTGAGCCGCCCGTTGCGACATACCTTTTATGCAGCTGCATAAAAGGGCGACCAAGCTGTGCGCGAACGGTATAAGTGCCCCAACACTCAAAGCCAGGCTGCATACGCCAGCATTACGAAAATGCCAACGCCGGCTATCAAAAGCTGAGCCGCCCCTTGCAACACGCATTTTTTGTTGCTGCGTAAAAGGGCGACCCAGCTGAGATCCCTCCCTTGTTCTCTCCCCATGTACCGGTACCCAATGCCTGCTCACCAAATTCAATGTCCCTGATCGGAATCAGTCACTTGCTGATCTTTCCTCCCCTGGTCGGTGTCTCACCGACCGGAATCACTCAGTTGCTGATCTTTTCATCCAACAGCGACAGTACCAAATCTTCCGCCGGCATTTTTGCAAAACAACATTACATTGTGAAAGTAAACAGACCATGAATAAACCAGTATGTCTATAACGATTGCCCCCCTTCCCCTGCAACTGAAAGAAAGCATTGGTCAAAGCCCCATGAGCGTCTACCAGGTGCTGGTAGTGGCCACCTGTTTTATGCTGAATTTTAACGACGGCATCGATGTGCTGGTAGTATCTTTTACCGGTTCAGCCATAGCGCAGGAATGGGCCCTGTCTAAAGCCCAGCTGGGCTATGTGTTCAGTGCCGGACTGGCGGGCATGACGGCCGGTTGCCTGCTGCTGGCCCCGTTGGGCGATAAGATTGGCCGGCGCAGCATTTTCCTGCTCTCGCTGCTGCTTATCAGTACCGGCATGCTGCTGGTCTTTGCCAGCGGCGCTTACTGGCAACTGTTAGTTTGCAGGATCATTACCGGCCTGGGCATTGGCGGCATACTGCCCAACCTGGCCACCGTGGCCTCAGAAATATCCAATGAAAAACGCCGCGATTTCAGTGTGGGCATTGTACAGGCGGGTTGGCCGCTGGGCGCTATTTTCACCGGCTTCCTGGCGGTATGGATAGTGCCTGCTTTTGGCTGGCGGTATTGCTACCTGATGGCGGGTACTGTTTCAGCAGCAATGCTGCTGGCCGTGTATTTTTTTATGCCGGAGTCAATCGGCTTCCTGCTGAAAAAACAACCCGCAAATGCGCTGCAAAAAATGAATACGGTGTTGCGCCGCATTGGTCAGCCCCCGCTGAACAGCCTGCCACCCCTGGTGAATGAACACCGCAAAAACCGGCTGCAAACCGTTTTCTCTCCTGGGTTCAGACATGCTACCATCATGCTGTGGACGGCTATATTTTTTGGCTTCATGACCTTGTATACCATGATGAGCTGGGTTCCCAATATTGCTGCAGAATCAGGCATGCCTTACAAAATGGCCACCTATGCAGGCACCCTGCTGAATGCCGGCGCCTTCACCGGGGTATTTGTAATGGGACTTTCCATCCGAAGGTTTGGCATCAAAAAAGTAACCGCCGTGTTTCTCAGCGCAGGCTTTTTAGTAATGATAGCGTATGGATTGTTCCGCCCCAATTACCTGCTGATATTCGTTCTTATTTTCTTTATTGGCTTCCTGGTGCAGGGCGGCTTTAATTCACTTTTTCCCACGGCCACCAGGGTATACCCGGAAGAAATACGATCTACCGGCGTAGGACTTGCAATGGGCATGGGCCGGTTTGGCGCCATACTGGGCCCCGCTATCTTCGGCATATTAACAGATGCGGGCTTTTCTGTACCGGCAAGATTTATTATTTTTTCTGTGCCCCTGTTAATAGCTGCATTTTTCGCCTATAATAATCCGTCGGCCCAACTGAAATAACCGGCAGCAATGATGAATTTGCTGTTGCCGCAAAAAATTATTTCTTATAACAGCACAATCTCAATTTGCCATTTCTTTAACGACGCACTTCAACTACAAATGATGAAAGCAGCCTTCTTAGATGCACCGCAGCAAATCAGTATCCGCCAGCTTAGCCGGCCCATGCCTGCGTTTGGAGAGCTCTGTATTAAATTGGCAAAAGTGGGCATCTGCGGATCAGACACCCATTTGTTCCTGGGTCATCGGTTATTAGACAAGCCCACTATCATTGGTCATGAAGGGCTGGGTTATATCGACGCCATTGGCGAAGGCGTTACCAACAGGATGCCGGGCGAAAGAATAGTGATAGAACCCAATATACCCTGCAGAAAATGCCCGTATTGCCTGTCAGGACGCGGCAATATCTGCAGTAACAAACTTGTGCTGGGCGTAAATGCACCTGGATGTTTTGCTGAATACATCTGTGTGCCCGAAGCATTCTGCTGGACCATTCCTTCCTCCATTTCTGATGAAGATGCAGTAACCATAGAACCAATGGCCGTTGCTTATCATGCGCTGTTTGCATCCAAAGCACTGCCGGGCGATACCATTGCGGTACTGGGCCTGGGCGCCATTGGCTTATTGCTTACCCATTTGGCCCTGGCATTGGGGTACAAGGTACTGGTGACTGAGCTGGACGCCGGCAAATTGCAGAAGGCCGTACAAAACGGTGCTGTTGCAGTAGAGACTACGGGCACTATGGATGCACAATCTGCAGCACTGGAGCATAGTTGGCTGCAGCAGGATGTGATAGCCGTTTTTGAATGCGCCGGATCCGCTTTTACCGCTTCGCTGGCAACAGCCGCCGCACCAAGGGGTGCGGAAATTATTTTAGTGGGCCTTTCAGAAAAAGAAGCCAGCTTCCGTCCATTAAAAATAGCCAGGGAAGGCATCAGCATCCTTCCCTCCATTATCTACGATCATCCTTTTGATTTTAAAAGGGTATTACAGCTCATTGAAAGAAAAATCATCCAACCGGGATCTATTATTTCTGCCACTACCTCCCTTGATGAATTGGCAGCCGGCTTATCAAAAGCCGCGGAAGGCCGTGATGCAAAAATAATCGTTGAAATAACTCCTGCTAACGGTGAGGGGTAATGCAGGGAGAAGTTGTTGGTACACCAACAACGGCGGCAATGGAACGCAGATGTTCATGATTGTCAGGATTAATCAGGATTAAAAAACATCTTCACTCTTCATAAAAATCATAACAATCTGCGTTCTATCCGCATGGCGATAGAACAACATACTACAGGTCGGTACACCCACCACGGACGGCGGCAATGGAACGCAGATGGTCATGATTGCCAGGATGTATCAGGATTAAACAACATCTTCACCTATCATAAAAACCATAACAATCTGCGTTCTATCCGCCTGGCGATAGAACAACATACTACAGGTCGGTACACCGACAAGGGAGTGTACGGCGGTAAGTTGTAATTGAATGGTGGACCAGTACGTGATTCACTGCGCTAAGATCTGTACAGTGTATTTTCCAATAATCTTGTTTGTGCAAAAGCGTATTCAAGTCCCAGCATCTGGTTTTGGAGCAGGGTTTTCAGGTTGTAGTTTACCAGAGGATCGCGGATGAGCATTGAATAATGATGCAGGAGTTTTC